TGAGTATATATATATATATTCAGTGAAGCATCAGTTTTAATTTATATTGGTACATACATTAGAACTTTATGTTCAGAAAACAATTTGTTCTCAGGTGCAGCTCTTCAGATATTTGTGGTTTCAAATCGACAAGTACTTAACCATATAGTTGTCTCATTGCACCTTAATAAGCTTCTTCAATATATCTGGCAAGTGCTGGATACATTTGTCTCGCTAATGTTTCAAATGAGATTTGTCTGGAAAATTCTTGAACAATTTAATATACTGAGAATATAAACTAATGTTATGCATTTCTCTACCCTGATGAAATAGATTATGTACAATATAAACACTTATAAATTGGTGACTTCCATGTGCAAAAAGGTGAGACACTCATATATTTTCTTCACTTTCATTTATAAGATCATCAATGATAAAAAGATTTGGTTTATCAGACTGTAAATAATGAATAAATGTTTCAAGCAATCCTTCAACAAATTGAATGTTAGGAATATTTTACATTCATTTAGAATAAAGTGGTTGAAATTCACCATAAAACAATACGATATTTTCAGGAATAGGATATATATATCTTCATGATGACAACTTAAAACTTTGCTTACAAACTCTGATTTACCACTTCCTGTTGGACCTGACACTAAACACTTAAAATAGTGCTGTAGACAGTTATCCATCTCGAACTCTAATGATAAATAAATGAAAGAGGACTCATCTTATATAGATAATGCCTAAGTGCACTTGGAGTGCCCCCAAGGCCCTGCACATGCCATATTTCCATTCCATAGACTATGGCGAGGAGTCAGTTTCATTAGATGAAAAATCAATATCCATACAGAAGAGTGTTAAAGTCTGGAAATATGTGTTGGTGTACGTTGGTTGATAATTCTTCTTTTTTCCTTGTTATAAATGGTATGAGTTTTTAAGTTTCAACATATCTTCTTAGGATTTGTCACCATTATAGGATGCTGAAAAGGACTAAATATGTCTGTTATATTACTCTTCATTGTTGAGAAGTATAATTTTTTACTATTGATAAAGTTTAGGGTAAACCCTCTAATTTTTCAATAAGACTTCCTATTGTTTTTGGAACCACCACTGACCCACGATTTTATATAATGACCATCGAGCTTGTCTGTAAATTTTCAAAGATAATTGGCTAGTGGTGGATCGTTAAATCTGACTAAAATGTAAACAATACTATCTGTATCGTAATACAATACAGTGAACCTAACTTCTCTAGCATATGGTGTAATTTCAGATGAGAGTGAAAAGTCGTGAAAACCGCCAGAAAGATGTTGGTTTGATCTTTCTGTAGAAGATACTTATGCTTGTGTTTCCAATGAAGAGCAGTTACATCATCGTTAACTAGTGTAACATCTGTTACTACCTTAGTATTATTATTCAGGAAAGAATGAGCCGATGAACAAAAATTTCCTGCTAACAGAAAGTTCAGATATGTAGGCTGTCTTGGAGATTGCTGAAAATTTGTCTCTTGATCCTGAAGGACTGCCACTAACATCATCCACGTTTCTTGCTCTGCTTATGCCTTCCTCAAAGGCTACAACACCACTAGAACCAACCCTACTAGCTATACAGCAAGTGCAATCGACTCCAGAAATTCTAATTCATATAGAGCCTGCTACAACTCCTAAGGAATATGTCAGTTGAAACAAGAGAAGACCCACTGTTCCATGTTGTACCCTGTCAGAGAATTGACAAGACCCAGTAACACCAAAACGATATGTACAGACACTTGTGCAAAAGTAGACAGTAAAATGTTTCACTGACAGGTCAGGTGATACATTGAGAATACAACCTCACTTATTTCTCAATGGGAGTGATCATTAGTGACAAGGACAGTGCACTCGCCGTCGAAAAGAATGAAATTATTGTTTCATGTACATAATGCTGTGTTTTCTCAGCCTGAAACAATTCCACACAAAGTTTTAGAGAGATTTACTTATCGGTTGAGATATCTGAAACCTCCAGTGAAGGCACCGCCCTTCATCAATTTCGTTTTCGTTGACTGTTTGGGTGAATAAATATTGTTTCAACATACCGTGTCTGGTCTCTTTCTTTCACAACTCAGTCAAAGTCATATAATTCATCGTTAGTTCCACAAAACATTTTTTATCAAACAACCTGATATTCTGTGGAACCTATTCGATTAATCTGAAGGGAAATAGGAGACGGACCAGAAATGTAAAACCCCCATCCCATAACAAGAGTTTTGAAGACCTATATTTTCTAAAAGTACATAATGTAAATACTATAAGTTCACTTTTAATTACAGAGAAAGTGATCAAATCTTGGTTGCTGTCATAGACCAGCTACATTTTGTGCACTGATTTACAAACACATACATTTATTATTACCTGACACAACTTCTTTTCAATACTGTTTTCAATAGACATTTAAGACACAATTAGGAATGTGAAACTATGTAAGAGAAAGGTTTCTTGGTGTTTTGATGGCACTGATTTGCTGAAATATTACTTTTTATGTAATCTGGTATACCAAAAATAAAACAGCCGTAACAGTTTTAGAATACTAGTATACATATATCATCAGGCATGGAAATACAACCACTGATTTTTCTACAAGTCAAGAAGAATAACACATTGGCATGAATCATTTATTGTTGAGTTGCCTACTTATGATCCTCTGTAAGAGCTATGAGTAAAATTTCTTAAAACTAAGGCAAATCCCAATTAAGCATGTGCTTATTTATCCATGATTAAATCCGGGAAAAGTCTACAACTATGTCAACACATATAAGTTCGAAGTTTTTCACCACCTTATAAACTATATTGTTGAACCATGAAAAAACAGGTTTTAACCACGAATGTTTTCTCAGTCACAACATCATTATTCTCTTGAATTCAATAAACACAGAATTGCGAAATATTTTTTATGAGAAACACATCATATTTGAATGTTTTGAAAAGCAAAAGTTTCCATAATAGTATGCTCTATGGAAGAATTATTTGTGTCACTTTCTCTTAAAACGAATAATGCAAGTATGCTTGTAACAAACATACACTGATACATGCTTTACTATAGCTTCGCTTAGGTACAAGCTAAAAAGTACTGTTACTTATCTACTTATTTGTTAATTTCCGGTAGAAATTATTTCTGAGAAACTTCAGTGATACAAGTCCTTCCTTGATTAAACCAGTTTATTCTTTCTCGATACTAACTTTTAGTACACAGTAATTCCACAGTCGGTACGTTTCTCGTCACTTTCAACTTCACAACTTTTATAATACACGCTATAAATCACAGTGATTCACAATCTCGATAACTTTGCTCTCTACGAGTGCAAAACACACACTTTACTTACCGTAACTACTGTTCGCTTCTTTAATTATCTATTTATCGCTGACTTTTCTGCCAGGCTTATGTACCAACGAAGGGGGCGTCTCGAATACACTCAGGCTTCCCCGATCATTCATGACCATTCGAGAAATTTCACGCACGCTACCAGCACCAAACGCACCAGCAGAGTCACGTGACTTCCGCTGTCATACTTTTATAAATTTATGCTGTCATTTTTTCACCTTGGAGCTGGAGTTAATACATTGCAGACGAAGTTATAGATTCTACATAAGGCTTGTTAAATACAGTTGAGAATGATGACTCTGTAATTACGTCTATGATACCCGATGTCTTAAAATTGAATCTCATATTTTACTGTTGTAGCGCCATTTTAAAACGATATCTGCACAGTTCAGCTTGCAGAGGTTTTGTCTTTTAACAGATATTTGTGGTATAAGCACGGATGATTATTCACCATGTACTCAAAATGAAATAAAGCAATATTTTTGTTTAAGTAATCAAATTTGCCATTTGAAATTCTTTCAAACGTTTGCATTTTATATGCAACAATTTGGTAATTATCATTACACGAAATAATTTATTCAACAACTCCTACATGTCATAAAATTACTTATTAATTTTCTTTTAACTAAAACTAAATCAAACAAACTAACCAACAGTTAGGTGCTACATAAATATATCAAGCAGCATTACTGTGACCTCAGTTCTAAACAAAACAAAAAATAAGTAAGTAATATACAAAACAAAATCACAATCTTACTAAAAACTAAAATATTTCTCTATCCTTAATGGCCCCCAGTGGCACAGCGGTATGTCTGCGGACTTAGAACTCTAGAAACTGGGTTTCGATACCCGTGGTGGGCAGACTACAGATAGCCCATTGTGTAGCTTTGTGCATAATTGAAAACAACCAAACGCTTTTGGAACTAAAAACCAGTGGCGACTTACTTTTTTTTATAAACTCTGGCTACGCCTCTAATCCTACAACATGTAAATAGCATCGTTTTTTAGTACTTTCGCTGTAATTGTATTCTGTCAGAAAAGTATATTTCTTATATTGGGCTATCAAAGTAAAAGGTTCAGAAAATTCACACTAGAGGAAAGGGGTTAGGGGTGACCTGCGGTCTAAAAATCAGTGCACTTGAGAGTACCTTATAACCAAAATTTGAATATGATAGACAGTACGTTTAAACTCTAAATTTGCAACAAACAATCACATAAGTAACCAATCAATGTTTATGGTGCAGAAATACACTTATAGCAAAAAGCAATTAAGAAAGTATGACTAGCTAATACATAACAAAAAGATAAAATTGGATGAGTTTTTTCGGAAATAAAAAGTGATAGAATTAGTTGAGAAAAAGAAACTTATATTGCTAGAGACATTTAAAATAGTGTACTATAAAGTATTTGCAAAATATATTATAATAGGATTGTATTGTTTTAAGGTTCTCTACTTTCTGATTTTCTTTTATCAACTCCCCATGGAGGAGCGGTAAGTCTCAGTGCTTTGAACGCTAAAATTCGGATAGCCTATTGTGTTGCTCTGTGCTTAATAACAAACAAACAAATTCTTTTATCAAAAGAAATAAAGACAAAATCCATATGATGTTAGTTTCATGTTTCAGTACCCTACTGGTCACCTTCATAGTTAATATGAGGAATGACGCACGCGTGTTTACAGTTGTCCTAGCTACCCGGGTTTTAATGTAATGTTGAGGCTCTGCAGCAAAACATGCTAAATGTTAAATACACCCGAAAATATTGACATATGGTTGAATAATGAAAATACTGGAAGTTTTGCTTTGATTAAGTATACTTATATAAACACCCACCAATACACACACACACACATATATATAAATACTTAGGTAAGCATATTTGATTTTCTTGATTGCTTATTTTCTAATTAATTTTTTATTTGTTTCAGATTTTATTTTGACAGACTGAAAATGTGAAATTAATACTGTGAATACGTAACTGAGTAAGAGTATGATTCACCAAATGTCAAGCACCGTTTAGTATATGCAGTAAATTTTTTTATTGTATTACGCTCAATCGTATGTTTTCACGCCACAGTGCAGGTATAATTCATTAGGTACTAAATTAAACTTTATCCTTGATTCATATTATTTGTCTTATGCATCGGTTAATGTTTCATATTTAAAAAAAAATTAAATTCTATTGTATAACTATAAGTATCTGATTTTGGCAAAATGGTATGATGAAGAATGAGCATGTGCCAGGTTTAATAAAATTCAAACTAAGACTTCAAAGCAGTGACTAAGATATTGAAATACAATGAGTGTTTTGAATTTTATGTTACATTAGCAATAGGAATTTGCTAGGTTTACAACATGATACTTAACATAAATTCAGTTATGACATGAACTATTTTGTTTCATATATATTACAGAAATACTGAAGTCCTGATGTGACCACACTCCTACCCTTTAAGTTAACCAAGATGATGATGAGTAAATTTTGTATCCAACTGGTAATTTCATATCTTATTAATTGAAGGTAGCTCACATGTGTGCCATATTCATGATTCCAGTATATATATGAAAAAAATATATATTATTGTTTTTTTAATGTGATTCATATTTTAACTTGATTTTCAATTTTTCAACAGATGATAGTTGATATGCATTGAATCAAACAATTATGATTAAGTTCTTTCATGCCACTCTCAGTTGGAAAGCAGTAATTAATATTCTCTGTTTTAAAAATGTCAATGGTAATTGGTTTGACAAAATTGAGATTTCTAGTTATGAAACAGAAGTCTGTATAAGATCTTACTTCAGCACATGAAAAAGTATTCCTCCATGTTTTTTCCAGTTATGTTTGATATTTTATTTATTATCCTTGGCAGTGGAATTGCCAGTATTGAAAGGTACATCAAATAGTATTGGTAATGCAGTTCAATGCATAGAATGCTCTGTACCTTATTCTTTATCATTGGTTGAACCATTTTGTTCTACGTAACATTATGTCTAAGAAACTCAAGTTGAGGTTGTATTTTCTTTGGCCTGAACTTTGGTCTCACTCTTTTCTGTCTTTTTCACCACCACCTTAAAATAGTTCAGTGCCACCTTAACAGCCTTACCAAAGACCTGCTTATTGTCCAAATATATTAGCCATTTTTCTATTAGTTTTCACTGGTTTAATTCCATTATTCATTCCAAATATAGCAGAAGAACTACACCATTGTGAACCTGTATACATGAAAGTTTATAATAGCAGAAAATATGTTGGAATGATTAGTCACAACCCATTCTGTCTACCAATATTCAGAAGGTTAGTCCAAAGAACTAAGTTACAGAGTACATTCTAAGGTGCCAATACTCATTTATTCAAGAAATTAGAAATGATTTCACCTGGTAATTATTACTGGATGCACACAAAACCTCAAACTGCTTTTCCTCAAAATGCACCCTCTTCACTTTGCCAGCAGCTTATTTTTGTGGTTTTTCCTCTACATTGAGCTCAATATCTACCATTTTTCTGCAGTCTTGGTGTTACCCAAAGCAGTGAGCTCTTGTAAGCTTTACCTATACAGGCGACAGCAGCCACCTTCAAGCCAACCCATAATGCAACATGAGAACTCTGTTTCTGCTGATACCAGAACTATCATTCTAGCAGTCTGCTTTCCTACAATTCCCACTCCAAACTTTCCTGTTTACACAACAACTGTAACTCAAGGCATTGTCTGATCAGATTGTACTCTCATTATACCTGGTGCTAGTATTTGAATGTTATTGGAATCACTATGGCTTCACATATTCTAGTTTACCAGAGCTTTGGCTCTTCCTGTTCTTTACATTGGATTTTCATTCTTCTGAAAGTCAGCGATATATTATTTCCATCTCTACTGTCATTGGCAGGATTTGGGACAAAATGAGTGTGTAAGTGAGAGGGCAAAAAATAAATATAGCAAAATTTAAATAAATAATGACAGATTTTGTAATTTTGATTGTTACATGTTTTACTTTAGAATGTACAAAAAATATCAGACTGGTTTCTTGACAGTTTTAGACACAATGTCACAATATTTTTATTTCTTACTACTCAAAGTTAAAATGTTTTTTTGAAGTAGGGGGAGGGGGCAACTGTCCATCAGTAATCCCACCACTGTCTACTGCACATCTACACCCAAGATACTATTTGACAATTCCAAGTTAATAGTAAGTATTCTTTTAATATAAAGATACTTAGAGGAGGTGTGCTATTTCACTAAATAGTTTCTAAAATATGATATGCACAAATATAGGCTAGCATATAATATTGTGAGTTATCACACAACACTACTGTCACTCATTTGACATGATTGGGCAGTTTATAAATGGCTATCAGCTACAGAAGCTGCATTTGAGTGCTGGAATATTGAGTTCAGGCCTTTGTTGTACAGTGATTATCATCTCATTTTATTAGATTTAAGTAATTTTATTGTAATGTAATCTAAGAATTATATTGCTTGTATGAACTCCATTGACTCTTACTGTAGATTCTGCAATTGCTTTTCATTGGCTTCTACTCTAATACAACTAACAAAATAAAACAAAGAAAGCTACATGATCACCTGTGTAAATAATATTAGCTGTTTAGTTACCTTACTGATTATCTAGACATTATACTACAGATCTGTATACTGTCTGAAATAACTGTGATATGTGACATATTCATCACAGAATTAGCAGAGCTGTGAACTGAAACTGTTTGTTTCTCATGATTAAATGTATATGTGACATTAGTATGTTGTCATAGATGCCCTTAAAAATGAACAGGTCCTCTTTTATGTAAGTTATACTTATAATAATGGGAAAATATTCTGTTGTCAGCTTTCATAATGAACTATGCTAACCTATGTGGTTTGAAATATAGCAGAAAGTTCAAATTTACTAATTTTATCTAACATGCTATAATATGACAGTTCATGATATCCCTGGCCACGTCTACCCCAATATACTATGTCTTTATAACCATAATTTTTCATAAGACCAATAATCACAAGTAAAATAGAAATAGGAATTTTAACACATTCTTCTTAACTTTTACTCACTCTCCTTCATTTCATTCATTTGTGCTTGCCAATATGATGACATCCTTAATTTATTCCAAATTTTACACTCTGAGGGCAATCATGAAACCAGCATGTCCATGAATTACAGACTTAACAGCTATTGTTCCCCTCTTGGTCACTATGATAATCAAAGCAGATTGCTTCTTTCCTCATACTTCTTTTTTGTGACTGATGATTCTAGCTTATTAATTCTACTCAGTAGTTAGACTGCACACTTATCCTTCTCATAATCAGTATTCTTTCTTGTTTTTCTGGCATGAATGAGGTGATGCATCCAGTCTATGGAGAACTTTCAAAAATTATTTTTTTCTGGATTACTGTCTCTATAATTGACTTCTTCCTTTGAGTAGCAGTTTTGTCTTAATATCATTCCAAGTGTCTTGTGACACTGTTTCTATCAATAAAGCTAGATTTCTATGTGATGATGTTTAGGCTTTTTTTTTGGTACCCCCTCTGTGATTTACTGACTAGGATGTTCTGTTTGTATTCTGACAGTATATGATAAAATATTTTCTAATACAATTGATATACATCATCTGAGTAGGCAGTCAGGTTTTTATATTGTTCAAATAGCTGCTACAGTTCTGTCACAGATGTCTTCCACTCACTGAGTTGTATGTAAGATGATTACTCAACAGCATTCAGTACCAGCTAATCCAGATTCAGGGGAAGTACTGGGTGGTCTTTGTTGTTGTTTGAAACAAACCAAGATCGCTTTGTCCTCACCCTTTGAATATTTGAGGATTAGTTGGCTTAAATTATAGCTAGTCTTTCCACTTGGTAATTCCATCTTTTTGGATGGATTCACTGCTAAAGTAAGCTTGGTGTCATCACTCAGTATCAATTCATTCCTATCTTGAGTGGACCATCATAGTGTGTTCTTTCATTGTAGATCCTAGCCAATCATTAGGTGAGTAACTGGTAGTCATCTGTACCATAAACGTATGCCAAAGTATGTATAGAACACATCACACCTGTATAGCCCTCTCAATCATGCTGACATTTTGGGCATCATGTTCAACTCTACTCAGTAGAAAGTAAGTTTTGTTGTTGTGCTAATATGCTGAGTTCCATTTTAATGAATGGTGGACCCGCTTTTGATGTTAATCACAGCCTGGACCCTTAACAATAAGACTTGCCACCAAAGAGTAGTACATATATAATGAAAAGGATAGTAAACAGGTTGTGGAATAGACCACTGATTGTCATGCAGTTCAGCTCCATGCAAAGTTTGATTTAAGAATCTGTTTTTGCTGTTCTTCATGTAGCATTCTGTAGTGTTTCAAAGTAATTTCATTGGTTTCGTGTTGATTGTCTAGGCTAGCAAAAGAAAATTTTGTATGTATATTAAATCTCTGCAGGATGGATACAACATTTGGTATGGCATGCTAAAAGAGGTATGGTCTGGCCTTCTTCATAAAATTACTTTTGATACAGGTAGTGTGATAGTGTTCAGATTCTCAAAATATGTGAAAATGATTATGGCTCTCTCTGATTCTGATTTTATGTTATTGGAGCAAGTCCAAACAAGTTCACTGGATCCAGGAATAGTGTACTGCATGAGTATATGTGGGAGAGGAAGTTACAGTACCCCTGTATACACAAATGGTGTTCCATGGCTAACTGTGGATGAAATATAGGCATTGGTGCCATATAACAAAGTTATTGAGCCCATGCCAAATGCAATATTACATCAAGCAGTTCGCTGTCCAAGTAGCTTCAGTGTCATTACAAATGTAAACTTGGTGTATCCAGTATTTTATTTGGTTATGATGTAATATTTTCATTAAAAAATTTCTCATCTTTCTGTACCATAAATAGCTATTACCTTGCATGCACTGCTATGTAATTTTCTGCACACGCAACATGGTTTGAATAGAGCACCTACCCCTACATATTTCAATGTGTATTTTGCCAGCCTATGATGATAGCTCTCTCAACACATCCTTCATGTGCAGTAATTCTCATGAGCACTGGCACGTAAACACAGTTTCATTCTTTCTTCAGCACTGCTTGCCTTCAGTCATGTTTTTTTATAAGAATTACCAGAATTTTTGCACTTCCTATTTTAACCTTTCATTAATATTCAATGAAGTTTTCTTTTCCTTTCTTTTCTGTATTAAATGACAGAACAATACTAAATTTTAAATTTATCAGTTATATATTCCATTTGATTTATCTTCAACTTGATTTTTAATTAACTTTGTATATTTTTGGGACATGTCGTATTTTCTGTTCCCATTGCTTAATTCAATGTACAAGTTTTGTCCAGTAGTCTTCAAAGATGTCATTATGCCTATGCACCACCACTATACTTGGCCTATTTTCTGTTTGATTAATAAGAATAATAACAACATCTGTCTTTTAAGTATTTTGCAAAAATGTACTGCCTCAACATCAGTTGTGTGGATTAACAGAATTATGCATTTATGTTCCCACA